CAAGTGGCCTGCAGGCCACAGGTTGGACAGCCCTGATGGACTTCCAGGACTTCACGACATCTGGCCTGGGAGAAGCCTTAGATGTCATTGCTACCCACACCCTCATTGTACAGATGGGAAAACTACACCATTTAGAAAATTGAAGTGTTTGGAAGGCATATCCTAATACTCCAGAAAATCATAACCTTTGGAACTAGAAAGATCTGTATTCTTTTCTTTGTTTGTTCAGTGTTTTTTTTTTTTTTAAGAGACAGAGTCTCACTTTGTCACCCACAGTAGAGTGCTGTAGTGTCACAGCTCATAGCAACCTAGCTCTTGGGCTTAGATGATTCTCTTGCCTCAGCCTCCCAAGTAACTGGGACTACAGGTGCCCGCCACAATGCCTGGCTATTTTTTTCTTGCAGTTTGGCTAGGGCGGGGCTTGAACCCGCCACCTTTGGTATGTGGGGCCAGCGCCCTACCCACTGAGCCACAGGTGCTGCCTGAAAGATCTGTATTCTAATTCCACTGACTTCTCTCACTAGCTGCACCAGTTAATCTCTATACCCTCCTTCAATTTTCTTATTTTAAAATATGGATAATAATCCTACTTTGCAGAGTAATTTGAGAGGGGCTCACAGCTAACATACATCAAACACATGATTCTGACAAAACACTCAGTGCATGGTAATTACCATGATCTGTTCACTCTTCTTTGTCCACTGTAGAGGCTCAGGGTCACTCTGGAGCTCAGAAAAGCCTAGAACCCCTGTTCCTAACCTACCATTCCTTTCTCTATACAGTGAACAACCAACCTGACAGGAATTTTCCTGGGTTCACACGTTCTCACTGGGGCTTTTTGGAAATAACAGACAAATGTGTCCCCTCCTCGTGCCTGTTTCAAGCCCTTTTAGACTATTCCGTGCCCTGGAGAATCAGGTACATAATTTGTAATTTTATTCAGCAGTGAAATGCCACTGTGGTAGCACAAAAAGCAAAAGCAATATTTCAACTCTCAGAACCCGGTCTGGCACCCGGAATAAAAGACTCTTTTAATGGGAAGAATAATCTATCAATTTTGTGAAAGGGCTTTTGGAAAAGGCTCCAAGTCCAACTGCAATATAAAACATAAATGGTACATTGTCCTAGATTTTTGCTGGAAATTGTACGTTAGCACTAAAGAGCAGCAATTCTTTCGCCTCGGCCTCCGTTTTTAGAATCTGCTCTACCGACAGCTCTATTTTCTAGGGGTTAATAAACGGCGTAAGAAAAAGGGGGGCGTGGAGTAAATGCAGATAATAATTGTAACAATAATCTTGCACACTTTTTCACACTTAAAGTGTAAAAAACAAACTCTGTTCTGCCCATGAAAGGAAACCCCCCTCCTGATCACGGTCCCAGGGTCCCTGCCACCGAGAAGCCGGCGGCTTCGGGTAGGAATTGCAGGCGCTGGTTGCTGGTACCGCCGCCCCGCCGGAGTGTGCTCTAGAATCGGCGTGTAGCTCGTCCACCCCTCAAGGTAGTGAGAGTCCCAGGCGAAGTTCCCGGAGGTTCCAAAGCGGTACCCTCGGTGGGAAAGGGCCGGCCGGCCGGGAGGATGGCATCAGGAAGCCCATGGCCTGCGCTCAGGGTTTCAGAGTCACCGTGCCGCCGGCCGCGCACAGAGGCAGAACAGGAAGAGGACAGACTTGGACTCCAAAGCAGGACTGGTGTTGTGCTTCCTCCTCGGTCTGTGCCTTTCTCCTTTCTTTTCCCAGTTTTTAAAAGTTCCAGTCATCTCAGCTAAGCTCAGGGGAAGAACGTGTCCATTCCCAGGCTAGTCACATAAGGACAGAGGCTGGACCCCCAAGGGGCACTGCACGCACCTGGACGGGGCTGCAGCGAGGCCTGCTGGAGTCAGCACCCCAAGGCGGGGAGGTGCCTCCACTATTTTATTCCAGAGCTTTCAATCATATCCTAATAGTCATTCCTTTTGCCCTGTCCTCCATGATAAGGACTTTCAAATTGCTGTGCGGAGCGACTGACCCAGCAGAGAGACACTGGAAGCGCAGGGACTGGGGACAGCTGCCCGCGCCTAGGTTTCTTACGGAGTTTTGCTGCACTATTTTGAAAGGAAGCCATCAATAAAAAAAAAGTAAGCATAATAATAATCACTTTGAAATATACTCAGTTAAAATTCAGCACCCCCGAATACACAAATTATCTTGCTTTTTATGATGTGGAGTTTTGTTATATTAGAATATAAAATATATTGCACCAATCCCCCCTTTCCTCATGATATGAACATTAAATTATTTTTTACTTAGGAAATTTAAGCTGCTTCTAATGAGGCATTTCAAACATACAGGAAAATACAGATGTTCTCTGAACCAGGTCAGACCCATGCTACCTAGTTAGCTTCTCTGAAATCATTGATTCACCCAGTTATCCCCTGTGGGTTAACTGCGTGTTGAATACCGCTCTGCTCTACTGAACAGAAACTCCTGTTCAGTACAGGACAAATTTCAACAGAGGAGCACAGATAATAAATAACAATCACAAATTAAAAGTATATAATAGACTCAGCACCCATAGCTCAGAGGTTAGGGCACCAGCTACATGCACCGGGGG